AACACATTAAAAAACTTTATACTAAAATCCTTACAAATCGACTAACCAAAACTTTCACAACATATACCATACTTAACTCACATAATTACATTGCACTTCCAGGTAACTCAACAAACAATCCAATACATATACTTAACAATTTCATAGAAGACGCCACCTGCAATAAAAAACAAATATGGGTACTCTCACAAGACATGAGTAAATCTTTATAATGATTAAAGGATAATTGAATTGAATGTTCAAGGCTATTGAGTAAAATATTTGCAAAAAGAGAAAGAGCACAATGTAGATTTATTTTTCTATCCAGATAAATTTCAAGTATCCTTAATGGATTATGAGTTCGGTGAATTAGAATAAGTTGTTCCAATGTATAAAGTGGGATTTTTAAATATTCAAGGTTTATCACATTGTGTGTAATAATTTCAACAAGTTGAGTAATATCAAGATAAAAATCGGTACACCAGTCAAGTATAATTCTTTAATTGTATTGCAACTTGTCATAATAAGATCAGATAATAATTTAATAGGGGGTATGCTATCATAAATGTCATAAGCACCATAAGAATATTCAACCGATGTTAGGTTCGAAAAAGCAGTGGCAAGAGGAAAAAATGTATAGGAATTTAGCCCTTTACAGTGTTTAAACTTCAATTTGTTGCTCTTTGTACACTGAACCAGTACATTGATAGCGCTACTATTTAATTGACAATTTAATTGACTAATAGTATAAATAAATGATCTTCTAAAGTTATTCTTTCGAAGAATACCTTCAAATGTTATACTTTTAAGTGAATGCTTCTGATCCAAAAGAGCTTTAACAGGAAATAATGCAAAATTGCTGCTAATCAAAGAGAACTTTTTTAAATGCTTTTGAGAGCAGATAAAAGCCGCTAAAGCTATTCCTTCATTTTCATAATAAATACTAGCTTTAAGGTTTTCAATATTATGGCAGTTTTTCGCTATGGTATTAAAAGGTTGTGTTTTTTGCACTGGACATTAGAAGTGCATTCAGTTTTCTAATCTTGGTCAAAAATTATATTATTGTATGGATGATGTGCTGTCCATTTATCATAATGATTGCAT